CGGCGGAACTGAAACTGGTTCGGGGTCTGGATCTGGGTCTGGGTCTGGGTCTGGGTCTGGGGTCTCTTCCTAATAAATGGCTAAACGTTTGGACAAATGTCTGTTATTTTATATTATCGTTGTTGTTTGATATGAAAAGTTGCCCGGGAGCGTTGGCGGGTCTGCTGGGAGTCCTCACCGAACTTCGCTGGCCATTCCAGCAGAGGTCAGTTGGGTAATCTCCATACAGAGCAGGCACACGGAGCAGAGCACTTGATGATCATCGTCTCCCCAGTGCTTGCTCCCTTTACTCGTTTTCTATGGGAACTCAAGAGTTGTGAAGCTCCAAGTCGTTTGTATGAATTGAGTAGCATTTAGATGTGTTAACCAACACTGTTTGTTAACACTGTCCTTAAGCCAACGCTGAAATGGAGACTCTACTTTGATCATTTATTTGGAACGCCTTTTTTTTTTGGAGTTTTCGACATATTTTTGATTATGTTATTTTTATGATGGAACAATGTAGTTTTTAAACACTGCTACCTGATCATCCTGCTACTCACCATGCCCCCCCCCCCCCCCCCCCCCTCTTCCCTCCCCCCCCCCCCCCCCCCCCCCCCCCGCTCCTTCTGGTCCTGCCACATCCTTCCACTTCCCCATGCTCATGGCCATTCCCATTCCCATTCCCGAGGCTCGTTTGTGTGCGAAGGCTTTTTGTCTCTATTAAATTAATCGACGCCCATTTTTCCAACTTAAACAACAAAAAAATGCAGAAATAAAAAGTATAAACGATAAAACATTTGCTGGCCACTGACACCCCCGCACAACACCCCCCGCAGCCCACCCCAGCCCACTCTCCTTTTCCACTTTTCATTTTTCCCGTCCCGTCCCGTCCCATCCCATTCCATTGCTGTTGTTGCTTTTGCTGTTGCTGTTTCTGTTTCACTTTTCACTTTTAAGTAGCACTATTTTTTAAGGATTCTGTTTTGGGCGAAGGCTGCCTTCGTCCTTTGGTCCGTCACTCAGTCAGTCAGTCAGTGGGTCCCCGTCCCATACCACACCCCATGCCCACACGACATCTAAAACAATTCTCCGTTTTTTGTGCATTTTTTCATGCTTATCAAATACAAAACAAACGCACACGGGCAGGGTTGGATATTTCCTTTAGATTTTCTTCTCTTTTTTTTCTTCTACCTCCCCCCACCACCCACTGTTTCCATTTTACGGGTTGCGGTTGTTCCCCGGTGCCCTGATCCCTGTGACATTTATGTTTCATTTGGCATTTTTGATGCGTTTTTCTTTTAATTTTTTTTGTTGTTGTGTTCCTCCCCTCCCCAGCCCCTTAGCCCAGTTAATACTCTAAAGCGACAGCGGCAGCGCATTTAGTGTGACATTTCAATCAATCAGCGGCCTTCGGCTTGGGCGATTTGATTAAATGCCAGATTTATGGCTCGTAAGAGTATCGCGGGGAGGGATACGACTGAGAAGGGCAGCAGGGTGTGCGCTGGGACACATTGAACGCGCTTTTCTTTCGACTTTCTTCTGGGTATTTTTGGTGTATTTTTGTTGGGAAAAAAGCTTGAAAATGAGTGTATTTGTGTTCAAGAATTGACTTGCCACTCACCTTCGCCTTAGAATTATCTTCGCTTAATGCGAAAACCTTGCAACATCAAAAGGCTGTGCTCCGCCCGACTATCTCCACAAAAATGGAACAAAAGAGTGGGCACAGATACTCAAATATTTGTGGCACCGTGCAAATGTTTTGCTCAAATCAGTGAAGATTGTGGCAGGAGGCGATGCGACGGCACCCGACATGAATAAACACATCAACACAAAGGGATAAAGTTTTACAGGATCCCGGCACACGGCTCCCGGCTCCTGGCTCCCGGCTGCCTGCCACCTGCCCCAACTCCAAGCGCTTTGCAAACGTCTTACCCCAATCTCATCCGTGTATGTACATATGATGGCTTGGGCCTTTGTTGTGTGCCACTGAAGTCTTCAGCAACGGAAGTCAAAAAGAATGAAAAAAGTACTTTTAATTGCCTCAGATAAGAATTACACATAACTTGCTCCCTGCTCCTCCATCTCGGGGATGCGGCAATTTTACAATTCAGCGCACATTTTGATGAGCTTCATCATTTTTTGCTGCTCATTGATGCTCTCACTCATATCACATTGAATGTAATAATGTCGGCGATGCCCTGCTTCCAGCAGAGACTAGGCGATCCAAGGAGAGCGATGATCTAAAGGCAAAGAAAATAGTCGAAGGAAAACCGTGCGAGAGGAAGAGCAAGGCCAGCAGATGGAGGAATAAGCAAGAGAATTCCACAGATCGAAGAGTTTACAAGCGATGCCATAAGAGATACTTTATATGAACAAAAGCATACATTTCAAACCAGAAATAGTTGAGGTAAGTCTCTTAAGAAATATTTAAAAAATCCAAGACATTTTTAAGAGCATTCCCGTGCTGAGAGACTCCAAGAAACTTGCTTTCTTTTTTGTGTAGACTTGATGTCCTTTTCGCTGGCGCTCTTTCCATTCATTTCACATATATGTCACACAATTATCACAGCTGTATCTATGCATCAGTGCCTGCCACTGCCACTGCCACACAGCCTACACGAAGAAGGAGCGACGGAGCGATGAGGAGAGCGTTTTGTTTGCACGAATTACATGCATTTTACGCAACATAAACGAGATTAGTGCTTCGCTCACATTTTAGCCGAACTTCTGCCGGTTCTGACACAAGCCCCCAAACCCTAGACTATGCGGGGGGGGAATCTTGGCTGAGATACGAGTCAACTCTTTGGACCTGTATAGAAGGGAATACAACACAAAATGTGTGCTCGAAGGCGAAGCTATGAATACCCTTGAAAATCACTCGGAAGCGGCAGACTATGCACATCAGACTATGTACCACCTTAAGGAGTATTTCCTTGCACATTTGCTTACATTCCTTCATTGGTAACCAAACCAACTTCTGCACAAAATGATCATACCCGCCCGTAGTACGGGTACAAGCGTAAGAACACACGAGCTGGGGAGGTGGGACAGCTCCAATTGCTTTTGTTTTTTACTTGCCTTGAACTTTCTCCCACCTCCCTCTGACAAACCCTTTGCCCAACCTTGTCATATGTAACAGGGGGAGAGGCTGCCAAGGTTATGGGAGTGTGCCTCTGTGTGTGTGTGTGTGAGCGAGAGTTTGCATTGTTAACAAGCGCTGAACATTTTTCCCATCTTTCTGTTAAACACAAGAATCTCCATAGACAATGTCGACGGTTTTTTTTTTTTTCAAGTGTCCTACGCTCCCTCCCACATATCGGAGTACACACATGTGTATGTGTGTGTGTGTGTGTGTGTGTGCATTCTTATATCTATATTTTTATGACTTTTTGTTGATCTTCTGGAGCGAGTGGGTGCTGGAAGGGGCATCATATCCACCTACCCACCATATCCCCTGTGTGTGTCTGAGGAGAGTTGGGCGAATGTTTCGCTGGTTTATGTTCTACAATCTCTATCAGAAGTTCTATAAACGGATGCATCTTATTGTTTCGACTGTGAAAAGTTGTCGGCGAAGCTCTGAGCGTGGACTGAGGGGCTGGGCTGGTGGAAGTCTCCATCTTGGCCATAAAATGTATTTCTTCTTTATGCGCTTAAGTGCAATCGGGCTTCTTTTTATGGAAGCCACTTCGCACAAGTTTCCAAGTTATGAGAACTCTGGCATTATGTCCGAGTATTGTTTGATATATTGTAGAAATTTGCATTGATTTGCAGCAATAAACTTTTCATTTCCCTTACCCCTTCATGACTGCTGATTGTGCTCATTCCTTTGACCGCAAGAAACAAGAAATTTGCAGATTGTTCTGCAAAAATCTGATGTCTTTCACAGGCGTTAAGCCACGCTGGAGCATCCTGGTAAGGGGCGGGGCAGTTCAGCAGCTGGAGCCAAGGGCAAAGTGGAAAATCTCGAATCAAAATGACATTAGAGCGTCGTACCGCTTGACTATAACGATAGAGTGGAAGTAAATATTGTCATTACTCAAGCTTAAAATTAAAATTACCCACCTGAATGGTCTCGCAGCGCGGCGACTGATGGGTCCAGGGCGGGGGAATGATGGGGCGCCACCGTGGAGCGGAGTTTTGCGAAATGATAAACTGCATAAACGGCTGGAAGCTGCGAGCTGAAGGCAACGCAGCAACAGACTAACGAAAATTTCAAATGCAAAACTTTATTCGTTCCTCCTCCGGTTCTCCGCTCGGTTCTTTTTTTTGCACAAGTGTTTCGCCCGTGCCAGTGCCTCCCCTTTCTACACCGCACTCTGACCCCCAGTCAAAGTGCCGCAACAGCAAAGAGCAAAGTAATTTTCATAACGACAACAGGAAAGTCGCCGAACTTGGCAAAAGGTGCGCCATGCCACCCAGCAAGCCTGATGAGCTGCAGCCCATAGCCACGGCCATAGCCCCTCCACCACCTGCACAATGCTCGGAATATGCCACGTTAAGCACATCTGTTTTTTATTGCTTTTAATTTGCCATTAATAAACCATTCCAAGGCGACCGTCGGTCGCACAAAAATGCTAATTTATATATAGATAGATGTACTCGTTTATATAGTAATAAGTAATACATATTTTGTACATATGTACATATCTTTGAGCAATCCAATTTGAATTTTCCCTCTGCCAGGCATTAGCTCTGCCAATTTATGGCGGGGCATGTGGAGCGGGCAATGGGAAGGAAGCACCGGCTAATGCCTCCATAAGTCAATGAGTTTTTGGCATTTTTATGGCTTATGAACAGACACCCAAGAGGGCAGGAGGCAGGTGGTGGCAGCTGTGGAAACATAACTCCCTCTCAACTTGATAAAACTTTACCCAGACCAAAATGTTGGCATGGAAAACCCGACAGCAACTCATTCCGATCAGCAGCTCATAATACCCTTCTCCAAGGCACAAGCTAGAGTACACTTGGTAGGCCCTGTACTTATTCCCAAACTCGTCTTTCAATTGCGAGACACAATACAATTCAGATGAAACAAAATTTTGCTACTGCAGACACTAAACGTAAGTTCCATTTAGTAAATATTTAGCTAGAAACCGCCCAAATGAGGTACAACTCCCCACAGATCTTAACACTTAAAAATTTAAATTCCTGAAAATTAAAATGAATCCATTTAAATGCGGTGATGACACAGCTGCGGGCTCCTCGCTGAAGGAAGAAACCAACGGAGGAGAAGGAGCATTGGAAAACCAGAAGAGCAACAAACTCGACCAACAATCTGCGAAGGAAACTCCAGCTCCTCGAGTCCTGAAGCAGAGTGACTTCGATGGTTTCGTTTTAAAACTAACGAATCACTATAAACGCGTGGAGGAGTTTAAGCGCCGCACTGAGATGACCATGAAGAGCTACATGAAGCTTATGCCACTCTATAACGAGGCCATGAGGCTGTACGCGGCCAAGTTAGCGCTGAGCAAGCAGGAGAAGACCGAGGAGCAGTTGGGCGACGCCAAGCAGACGCTGGAGGCACTGACCGAGAAGACCATCGAAAGGTTGCGCATTATTGACCAGAAGCTGCTGGCACTGACCGACAAGATCAAGGAACATGCTATAGAACACGCCCCATAGGAGGAGCAGTAGTCAACGTCAAAACCCATACAGCAGTACAGATATTAAATTTTAAATATTTTGGCAACCAACCAACATTTAAATCATTCGCGATCGTGATGGGTTGACTAAAGCGAGGGCGAATAGTGTAGATAACAGTTCAGATAACAAACACTTTCAGTTGGCAAATTAATCGAAATCAGATACTGGTGGCGCCTCCACTCGGCTAGACGGGCACTTCTAACATCACATGTTATGTTAACATTGTGCCCAGTACGCGCTTCCAGCGGCCTGTTCGCCACAACAGTGTGCTGTTAAGGAGCAGCCCAGCTGTTAACTTTCGAAAATTGCTTTCTGATTTTTCTGTTCGCCTGGTAGCAAAAACATCGAAAAATATCATTTTTGCATCGTTTCGAGGTTGAGAGTATTTTTTCGATGCCTTTGCTCTATGGTTCTGCAGTGGAATATAACGAAAAAAACACTGTTATATTTGTAAATTATTATACTTAAATAATGGAATAAGAATTATAATTATTATACATTTTATTGTATTCATTTAAAAATGTGTCATGCCAAAATAAATATGTCTGAAATATTTTCGGACAGCCTCAACTTGTGGGTGCAGGTGCTTCATATGGACAAGGTTTTGTATTTGTCGATACGGATGTCTCTGGATAAATAAAATATGTCTGTTATAGAATTACCAGGAATCGCATCGAGTGCATTCTCTAGACAGCTTCATGGGAATGCCAACGATTTCAACTGCACAACTAAATAAGCAACCAAAATGGACGAATGTTGCCCAAAATCCTGTCAGGTCCAACCCCAAAAACTTCAGCCTGGTTGTTCCAGCCTGAACCATCCCCTGACCATCAGGACAAAGCAATGTCTTCGAGGCTGTCCTGTCTGTGCGCAGGAGGCGCGGGAGTAACATCAAAGATGCTGTCGAGCAGCCTAAGCAACAGGACCTTAGACTTTGGACAATGCTCTTGAGGGGCCGCCTTGTTCGCTGGCCAAGTCCCTTTACCTTGGCCAAAGTATTGCGAAATTAGCCAAGAGTAATCCTTTAAGTTTAGTGCCCAAAAATTGCACACAATTGCCGCAGTGGCAGTGGTAGTGGCAGTGGCAGTCCACCGAACCTCCTCCAACATTGTCAGGCCAACGTTGATGACATTGTGTAAAATTTTGTAGCTGTCGTCGACATTGCCGTTCCCGTTCCCATTCCCGTTGTCGTTGCTCCTCCTGGTCGCGGCATCCTCCAGCCAGCCGACTGGCTATAAAACTTTTATAGTAAAAAGTAAATGCCACAAATGAGCAATCGAAATTTCGCATTATAATGCAAACTGTGTGCATTTTTCGGGGTTATTGTAGTCGACTCGACTCTCGGGCGCAAAAGACAAACGCATACCAAGGCACAGTCGTAGTCATAGTCGTCATGGTCGTCTCGCTACAGATCCAGTAGCTGCTCCTTTCTCCTCTCTTGCCTCTATTAATAATAATAGAATTTTTGGAAAATTTCCCTCAGCTAGAGAGAATGGTAGGGGAGAGGAGAGGGAGAGGGAGACGGAGACGGAGAGGGATAGGAAGAGGAGTGATGGGAAAAGGAAAAGGAAGCTGCCTTTCGGCTCGCGATTTTTGCATTTGACAACGAAAACGAAATGAACGAGTTGGGTCACCATTCCATTTCCATTTCCATACCATTCCATTCCATTCTTCACGTAACCAAACCCCAACGTTCCCATTGGACTGCATTGCATAATTCAGAGCTGTCTGCCTCTGAACCTCTTCTCCTCCCTCTGCTCGTCCCATTGCTCTCGACACGGCTCGACTCGACTCGACTCGACTCTGTCCTGCCTGACAATAATGCTAATAATGATAATGATTATAATGCATGAACAAAATATTCCTGGAGATGCCTTTGTCTATTGAACCAGCCTGGGAGCTCCGCCATGGAGCTCTACTCGAGCGACTCGACGCTGCTGTCTGTTGTTTGGCATCTAATGAACTTCTTTATGGCTGCATCATTCGCATAGCTAATTCAAAGAGCATTCTATGCCTGCTCCAGGGAGTACAATTCACAGCGAGAAAATTCAAAGCAATTCTTTGGAAAATGCTGGCAACTGGAATATGGAATTTTTAATTTATTTGCAGCTTTAACTTAATCTATTTAAGGAATGGAAATAGTTGAAAGTTTGTATTGAAATCATAATTACTTACCAGTCAAGCATTAATTAATGGAAATTGATTTTGTTTTATCAAAGATTTTCCATGCTGTAGCTTTGGACTCTGGAAAGAGTCTCGAATTGAATATTTATCATTTAATAATCTCTATGAATATCCCTCAACACTTTCCCTACCTATATATTCGCTGGGATAATCTGCACCTGCCAGGTGATCCAATCATCCCCCGTAAAGCCATCACCCCCTGCCCAGTCAGGTGGATTACCTTCACGAAGCGATGGGTAGAGCCACAACATCGTCAGCATCATCTTTGGCATCATCGTCATCAGGCACGTCCGCGCCAGTACGTCCGCCCATTCGGTTATATTAAAACCATTTTTCGCTTATTACCAAAAAATTTAAATATTTTGAAAATAATAAACTGCGGGTGAGTTACTAAGTGGCAGCAGCGACGCCCACAAAAAAGCAAACAACGTTCCACAGAACAGAACAGCACAGCACAGAACGGAGCCCGGCAAGGGCAAGAGGATTGGGCTGATGCTGATGCTGATGCTGATGCTGAGGTGGTTCGGTATCGTCATCAGCATTTGGTATCATCAAAACGATGGCAAGCATGAGCTGGCCCACCTTTAACCCCCAGCCACGGCCATTACTAATCCTCCCATCCAACAGAGCGGAGTGGAACAAAACGAACCAAACCCAAAATCCAAGTAACTCCGGAGCACCTCTCCCACCACCGGCGCCACCTCAAGCCAGAGACCTCGGCCACTCCGGCCCGCTGTGCGCTATCAGCGCGCCTCGTGTTGATTGTCGCGCATTGCCATCAATGTTCTCCCCCACTTAACCACCCCTTTCGCAGCCCCTCGCTTAATGAGCATCATACGTTCATGATGATGATGATGGTGATGATGCCGATGTCGATGTCGACGTTGATGACCAGTGGCTCAGACGAAGAGGGGTTCTTCTAGACAACTTATAAAAAGTTGTGAAAGAGATTTGCCGCTTATTCTTGCTTAGAAAATAATACTTTGAAGCAATTAAATTATTTATTGAAATCTTTAGTTAACCATTGACATCCAACAACTCTATATGCTCGTCGTCCCTAGATTAAATTAAACTTCAGATGCCAATGCCCATGCCCATGCCCATGCCCATGCCCATGCCCATGTCCATGTCCCATAGCCCATGCCATGCCTGGTGGTGGTGGCATTGGTCTCATAGTGTCATATTTTTATGATTTTTATGTTAATTCATAACCAGCGACAACGTCGCGGTTGCCACAGGCCAGCTTCTACAACGCCTTTTCCAACCGACGTTTCAGCAGCCTCCTTCTTCTTTTTGCCAAATGCTTTTTAATCCTTTTAATGAAAATTAGTTCCTCTCAATAACATTTAATATATTTTCCTTTGCTTTTGGGGTTTTCCCATCCTCATGCTCTGTCTATATATCTCTTGGTGTCCCATCCACTCGGAGTTCTGTTGTTTTCACAGGCATTATCATAATTTCTGTTTGCAACCCTAAATCAACACTTGCCAGCTCCTGCTCCTGCTCCTGCTTCTGCTTCTGCTCTTGCTCCGACTCGTGCCACCAGCTCCTGCTCTGACTCGATAAAGGGTTACTGGTCCTGTCCATTTGGTGGTTGAGTGGATGGGGAGGCCGAAGACCCGTGGCTGCTGCGACACTCAAACAGAGGGAGACAGAGGGCTTGGCATATATCACAAGGTGCTTTCCCCATCACCACCACCTCCACTTCACCCTACAACTTCCACTTCTTGTCTTTGTCTTTGTCTTTGACCTTTTGCGTTTGATTTTCTATGCAGCGTTAAATGGCATCCGCGTCCGCGTCCGCGTCCTCGTCGTGTCTCCTTCTTTTGGGCAAATTGAAAACCCAAAAGCAGTAAAAATTAATGGCCGTAGCGAAGGTGTTGCCATCCATATACTACGCAGCCCTCCCACCGCTAAAGCACACACAAGTTTTCTTCTTGCTTTCTTATTGATAATACCAGTGCAAGTACTCGTACATACATACATACATATGTACATACATCTGGCGTGGCTAAGCGATATTCAGAGAGGGAAATATGGAAGAATTGGTGGGAAGACAAAGAGAGTAACAGAGAGCAAGCGACTGCAGATCGAATAACAGACAGCTATCAGAGCCAACAGTGCGCTAACAGCGCCAACAGAGTGCTAACAGTGAGAGAGAGAGACAAGAAGCACGATGTTAACAAAGCGAGCAGAGCACTAAGCGATCGACGACAAATATTTGGTGCTCTCCCTCTCCCTCGCAAGCCGCACGCCATTGAACTTTGTACTTAATTTTTGTGCGTGCTTAGACACGATTTTATATGATACGCACAAAAAGACTTACAGTTATAAATAAGTAAAAATGTAAGTAGCAAATTGCTGTTTTGGAGCTCATTGAGTTTTGTGCCTTCAAAATAAGTAATACATTTTGTAGGCGTAAAAGATTAATATTGATTTATTTGAGTTATTTGGGTTATTTGATATTTGCATAGTCAATTTGGATGCGGTTCTAGTCTTTAGGGCTTCTGAGATCGATTAAAACTACTTTTTTTGGTCAATGAATTCAAAGGCGGAACGCATGAAGCTGCGACGCGAGAATTTGTTCTCAAAGGGATTGGCCTGGCGAACGACTTTGACTGTGGCCGATATTGGGGCCGGACCGGGGATGAAGCGCTTATTCTGCATGGCCTTGGCCAAGTCGCGATTCGCCATATCCTTTGACTTCTCGTCCGGGCTGCGCATGAAGCTCAGCTTCAACGTATGCGGCTCGGTGTTGCCAAAGTCCGGCTTGTAGGCCGACGCACTGTGGGGCTTCAGCCAGGTGGTATCTGGATGGGCGGGGTCCCGCCACATGTTGCTCTCACGTATCGAATTGCGGTAGCGGGAGTAGTCCTCAATCTTCGGTGTCGTTATCCGGTTCACAGGCGCTTTCGGAACAGCTTTTGCAGTCGCCAGCGTCGTGTGCGGAATCTTTCGGGCAGTGTCGCTGGGCTTGGGGAGCTGACTCTTGTGGCCATTGGCGCTGGCGTCCCTCATGTGGCTGTTCCGGAATAGCAATGAGCCGCTTCCAGATATGCGATTTTTCCGCTGTGCCTCCTTGTTAAGGTCCCTAAACCTTTGCTGGACGTTCTGGCAGGCGCAGCGTTGAAGGCAGATCTGCTGGGCGGCAGGTACACCCCGCGCCAAGAAGCAGACGGTGCCCAGGGCCGGACGGAACAAAGCGGTGACGCGTTTCATGATTGACTGCTGGAGAGATCCCATTACTATAACCATTCAATTTTCCACTTACAATTTCACTCTTACTCACTTTTTATTCACTGAACGAAATTAGACGGGAATTAGAAACCAGAGGAATTTTGCACAATATTTTTTGAAAAATATTTAAATTTTGTAATTTTGTTCACTTTAATTTTTTTTTTTTTTTTATCAATAAAACGTCTCAGAAGAATTTTTAATTATACCGCATATGCGTCAGCCAAAAGTCTACTATTTTCACTTATAATTTTGGTATTGCAATCAAATCAAACTTTTTTTTCGAAATATTTTTGGGAAATAAAATAAAATTTTGAATTTTTTTTGTTTTGTTTTGTGTACTGTTGATGCTTACTGTTTGAACGCTCGAGAGAGACTGAATCTATCCTATGGGATTCTGGCAACTACAAAATTTGGTTGATAGTCAAATATTACAGGCCTACTTGTGTAGCTAAAAATGGTGCCTAAAACAGAGTAAGGTGGCAGACATTCAGTGGCAAAAACTGAAGGTTGAACAGAGGAAATAAATATGTCTGCATTTTTGTTAATTTTCTATAAGTTCTATGCTGTAAGCTCCCAACCAAATTGTATATACTTTCGGCATTAACTTTTCTCAATTTTTGACTACATCTTGAGGTAAAAAATTAGCGGCAAAATATGTATTTGGCAACAATTATGGTCGACTCGCCAATAAAGTATGTGCTAGTGCTATGCTCCACCGATCATTCTTTTACTCTTGGAATGCTTGGAGCACTCGAAACATGGCCTCAAAGCCAGCGGCATAAGTGCTCAGGCATTCCACATTGTATTTACGAACGAGTCTACTACCATATGCAGGAGTAATTATAGGTACGGCATCTTGGAGCAATTGCACATCCGCCCCGCCTCAAGCCAAGCCCTGAAGACCGAAACGCCGAGCTGGTCCATTAAGTGCCTGAGGCGGTACTTTGGAGCCACCGACGACTTAAACGCTGACACTTGAACTCTTTTTGATTTCGCCCCAGCAAAGGGGCGACGTGGCGTCACCGTTGGCCCAGGCCAGTGCGTGGGCGAAATCTGCACAATGCCACAATTATGTTAAATATCGACAAGTGGCCATCCAGAGGCAGCTTTTGTTGCGCGCGCTGCACCGGCACAACCAGAGAGAGAAATATTAAACACTCGAAGAGGAGGCCAGCGGAGACCGACATCGAAATGAGTTCCCCGCCCAACAAAAGCAGAAATAAGTCACGAAATGGTGGGAGAAAGATGGTGGGTAGAACACTGAAACAAAAGTTAGGGCAATAATGTGTGAAAAAGAACATCCGGCAAGCTGCGCCGCTGCCACACCTGGAGCCTCGGCATGAACGAGCTCTACTCGGACGTGCCATTCTTAGTGGAGAATCAGTTCCTATAACGGCGCACTGCCTGATTCTGCTGGCGCGCCAGGCGCCTCTGAGTGAGCTTCTGTAAGCATTCAAGGTAGTCCTCGGCTATCTTTGTCATCTTCAAAGTGAGACGCCTCAAGCCCAACATCAGCAACAGCTGAAAATCTTTCCATGCACTGCATGCCCTATCCATCAGTCAGCTCTCTCTTGGAGCACCACACAGGAGGAGCTTCAGCTTCAAACATAATAAAAACATGCACATTGATGAGTTAATTGTTTAATGGTTTGATCATTGGGAAGTGATTTGGTTTATTGGTTTCTACATTGAGCAATCACTTCTTCACTTCCTCCTTTGGGAGACTCGAATGCCACAATTTTCACCTTGTCGACCTTGAAGATTTCGTGGTGCTCGCGGAATTCTACATCTTTCAGCTCGAAGTTATACCTTGTCGCAGAGGTTTTAGTTCTGCAGCTGTTTGGCCTTGAAGGTTATCAGCGGCTTCGCCTTTTTCTTGAGAGCTGCGTGGCCAACTGTGGGCTGATCTAACCACTCTGCAGTGAGAATGCGGCAGAAAAAACATAATTATTGGCATATTTTTGCACTTGCAAAGCGACTCAACGCATCGCGTCACCTTTTTGTGCCACCAAAGTGCGGCGGGGGACTCACCTGGATGAGCTCGTCGAGAGTATCCTGCAGCGCGTGGCCTAGGATGGTCGAACGATGTAACTGATCTCGAACTTGGCTTTGCTCGAGCAATTGCATTTATTTTCTAATTGAAAAGTTCACTCCACGTTTTGAGGCGGTGCTGCAAAATGTGTAATGGATAATTGTATGGATGTGTGGCAAAGAGACAAAAGCTGAATGCTATGAAACCGCCTTGCCCGTGAAGAAACCCGTAAATCGGTTTTGTTTGTTGAATTATCTTTTAATTGACTCTTGACTACACGAAAGTAGGTAGGTAGCCCAGAGGCTGCATTTTTTATGTGCTCCCGCCATTGCTGGCGCTGCATTGGGGCACAAATGGTTTCTGTTTGTGCTGAGACTTCCTTTGGGAAGTGGGCAGGCTCTTCTCTTCGTCTTTCAACCAATACAATTAATAGGCTCTTGTTTTGGGAAATATGAAAATACAATATGCTCAGGATTCACCCTCGTTTCGCGTCGCGTATTCCAGTTGCCAGTTCAATCGACAACATTTTGGTTGGTGGCTGTTGGCTGTTGGCTGGTGACAGGGACAGAGGTTGCGCAAGGGGATAACTTAATTATGCAATCTAAATGCATTGAATCACCTCAACCAAATGACAATAATCATGATGACAAAGTGGTGCCCCCCTGCTAACCGCTCCAAAAATGTTAACTCATTTGTTGTCCGCTTTCTTTTGCTTCTGACAGCAGGCAAAACCGCACAGAAGCTTCCTCCAGTGCAGGTGAGCAACGCTGGGAGTATTTGGTGTAACGGGGAATCGGAGTAGGAGTTGGACTCGGAGCCGGAGCCGGAGCCGGAGCCAGTGAGGGTGTGGGTGTGGGCGTGTCGGTGTGCCCATCTTCCATTTTTTGGTTGAAACGACAAATCTTTGCAATTTATTTACGTGCCATTTCGTAGAGAACATTTTCGTTAGATTTACCCCATCCCAACTCCAGCATTCTCCCCGACTGTCGACTGGCTGGCGGAATTCCAAGACAACTTCAGCCTCAAGTCGGACTATGGCTCCGTCCCTCATCCCCCTTCCTCTACTGCTGTGGCTTCGCTTTTTTGGCGTCGACAAAAGTCATGACGCGCTGATGACGTTGCCAGTGGAAGGATTTAATGGCACATTAAGAATTTTATTACCGCACAACAACAGCAAAGGCAACGGCAACGGCAATGGTAGCGGTAACGGTAACGGTAACAGTAACAGAGCAGTAGCAGTCGAAGCAACTTCGTGGTAACGGTAAAGGGAAGGGGAATGAGGGTAGGGCATAGGGAAAATTCATCGCACCTTGGCAGGAAAAATTTTTCGCGCGCGTACACACAAAATTTTTGACAGCCATGAAAATCTTTTGGTGTCAACAGAAAATTATCATTTACACTTTTCAGTTGATATTTTCTGCACACCCTACAGAATGGATGATTTGATTTTGCAGAGTAAAGCCCATACCTTGGGGTATAAGCTATGGATTCTGACTCGTTGTGGCTTTCATTTTGTATTTGTTAACATGAAAATATCACTGACTGACACTTCCCCAAAGAGTATCCAATGATTGGAGTATCTTGCAGGCTTTCAATCCTTCTCTGCTCTGCCCTTCCATTCCCTTCCCTTTCCGTTTCTTTTCTCTTTTGGCTGGTAATTTATTTTTGTATTTTGCGAACCGCTGGGCTGCTGGGGGAGTGGAGTTGAGGCACATCTTCAGTTCTTCAGTCAGAGGAACTTTCGCTCTCACAGTGTCGGGCCAGGACGATTGTCATTATTACAAGTTTTGCATAAATGAATGAATGAATGACATTTATGTATTTCATTTAGCCAGAGCCAGGGACTCGGCTTAAGCTGGCAGTGGCAGCGGAAGAGAAATTGTGAATCCAAAAGGACAGACTATAGCCATTTGGTTGACTGAAATGATGCGCGAGTTTTTCAAATCTTTATGTCCTTTGTTTGATCAACTTTCGGGCAACGACGCTGCCCGGCCACCGGCCAGAGCGGCAACCAGCCGGGTGCGGGGGTGCGGGGGCCAGGTGTATGGCGGTTAACTCCACGTGCCATTAACCCATTATGTGTCAGCGAAAATTTCAATCCAGCCACAATTTCATCTTGACATTTGTGCATAATTGAATTAATTTCCCAAAATGGAATTCAGACATTTCCAGCAGCGGTGGTTGGCTGGAGTCGAGGATTTGAAAGGATTTTGGCTACAACTGAAGATTTTTAATTAAAAAAGCTTAAAGTTCAAGGTGCCGAAAGGTGCATAAAATATGCTAAAATATATCCTGGATCCACAGTGAAAAATCGATTTAAATGCTTGTTTTAATATATTTTTTATTGGAACTATGAGATATTAAGTAGAAGCAAATTCTACTTACTTTTCCGCTATTTATTTTGCATCTCCCCTTGCTTACCATTTGAATTCAATTGAGTAAGACCCAAAATTCCACTCGATTACCTCGCTCTATCGCTGGTTATTTTTGAAGGTACACTTCCCGGTTTATAGAGAGCAGATGCTGCCTTTTGAGTACTGCCTGATTACTGCCCCAAGCCCGCCATTTACTGAGCATCTTTTGGGCCATCGTGGCGTAGGCAATTAACGTCGATCCGTGGAACATCTGGAATGGAATGCTAACAGCAATAGAAGTTCTTTCCCTTTTTTTCTTTGTGTGTCTTATTTATATGCAATTTAGGTATCTTTTGCGTGTTGTTTGTGCAACCCTTTGGGCGCTGCCACCCCGCCATTCGCTCTACTTAATTTGAATGCATTTAAAAATGTTAAAATATGGGAATTACCATGGAGCAGAAAAAAACGCGTGCAAATTGTGGGGTAGAACAAACAGAATTTATCTGCAGAGACACGCACTTTGAACGTTAAGCAGGAAGCAAGCACGGCCGCGGATTCAGATTCGGATTCGGATTCGGATTCGGCTTTGGCTCGGAGCAGGCTCGGCACACAAAGGATTTGTACGTGTTCCCACTTGATGAGGTTGCCCACCACCCCGGTCCACGCCTGGCACTGCTCTAATCACCGAGCTACTACGTATTCCCCCATCAACAAATACGAGCGGTACGCAAAAAAATTCCACCGACACACGATGTCACAGGAAAAAAAATAGATATACTTAAATGGTGTGGAAATAATAAGAAGCCGAAGCTGGAAGTACTCTTCAAGAGCTCTTTAATGTTATATATTTATACCTGCTAAAAAGAATATCTACCTACAGCTTTGGAAATAATTGAATTGTTCTCATCGAAGATCGATAAAGGACTGAAATCTCAAGCTTGAATTGATGGGAAATCTGTC